CCTTGAAGTGGTTTTGACATTCCCAAACATTTAATCTGATTACTTCACATATATCTTGTGTCGCGCCCATACTCTTGATTAGATCGTAGTGTGAGGTGAGGCCTTCTTTTACTCCAGTTAGAATTCCACTTGCAACTTGCCGGTATTTAGGTAGAAGGTACAGGGTGTAACCTGGGAATTGGTAGTACTTCAGTTTGTCATCCGAAATGTTTGCTTCCATAATTGTGAAAATGTCTACATCATAGGTTTGTAGGATTTTCTGTACTTGGATCATTTTGTCCGGAGACATTCCTCCAGCATTCCACTGGAGGATCTGAAGACGTTGTGATTTGCCCTGACGAGGGCGATTTCTCTTGTAGCCTTTCTTTAAGTTAAATCGAAGTCAAATCAAATGCCGAATGATAGACTTTTTGCCGTACGAATATACGTTGTCCAGGGTGCACCACGTGGAGGTAAGTCTATTGAAAAACGAATGCCGAGTGATAGAATTTTTGCCGTAAGAAAGTACGTTGCCCAGGGTGCACCACGTGGAGGTAAGTCTATCGTACGTTGTCCAGGGTGCACCACGTGGAGGTAAGTCTATCGCGAACCCCTTTTCAACAAATATAAGTTTGGACTATTTGATTTCAAAGCGCATTGCATTTGTCCACCTTGTGCTAAAAAGTTCAATAAGTTCCATATCTATTAATTAATAAACTTACTATAAAGGAAAAACAAGTTGATGAATTAACTGCACATTTAAAAAATGTCAGACCTTGATAAGCAACATTATAAGGCACATGGAGTAATTGTAATGGAAAGGTTGAGTATTAAATCAGTTCTAGCTCTTGAATAATAGCAGGAGAACTAATATTTCTGGTCAAATTTATTGGAAACACACTAACTTAATTTACTAAAGTTTTCAATATTAAATGTCACTTACTTAAAGTAATTTGAAGACCACTTCAGAGGTCGGCAAGCTGGATGACATTCAAGTTCTATAGTCGTTAAATTAGGTAAATTTTCCACAGCTTTTACAAATTGGAGGGAGGTGTGCGATAGACTTACCCTCACGTGGTGCACCCTGGGCAACGTATACTTATAGAGCAAAAAAGTCTATCAACCGGCAGTTGACTTCTAACTTCAAACTACCATGGCCCGACTGCTTGTCATATTCAACCCATTCAACAGTACTCACCTTACCTTTTTCTCTACCTTTGTGTCTGCCTGCCTCTTTTACATCTGTGAATCGCTCTTCTGTTCCCCACCCCTCGACTTTCTTCTACTTTGATGAACTTTCCCTCTGTGAAGACCGAAGTCAGCTAAATGGCTAATGATAGCTATCAAAACGCCTGACATTTGAAATAAATAAATAAATGCAAATTGGAGGTAAACTGGAAATGGAAAATTTAGAAATATTTGACAACAGTTTCGACAATCTCTGGGCAATTTATACAATTGATGTTTACAGGTATAGAAATGTTGTTATTCAAACATCAATTCAGAAACAATGTTCCTTGCTATTCCATAATTCACCAGAGGTATACTTTTATACTTTATTAATAATTAGCACCTATCTTCTTTAGAGATCTATTGGGTGATCTAGAGGTTGTATGAAACTTTGATTTCTGCATTTTGCTAAAGCATTTGTAAATGTAGGCATGGATTAGACTTTCCGTATATGAGTTTTCGAAACATGAAAGTGGAAAAACAATCTAAAGTTAATATCGATTATTAAAGCTTTCAAGTATAGAATCATACAAATGCACATAGAATCCGGTTTTGTGTTTTGATTTAACGCAGACTTAATTTCGTAACTACGTTGAATAATTGTCTGCAGATAAAAAAACCCGACAATTTATATTTTTAACTCAGATAACATTAAATAGGCAAGAAAATTTAATATTAAAATAAAAATCTAAGTTTACACGTCATAAACTAAAGTCGTGATTAAAACAACTTTGCAAAATATCACAGTGGTGTTATAACCGGTCAATCTGACCTTCAAGAAGCAAGGTGGAAGACTCTAATTCATGCTGGTTGCGATATTTAGCTGGTAAATTTCGTTAATACGAAACAAGCATGATTGATAAAATATACTAATATAAAGACGATTTCAAGTTTTATTAAAGTATTTCAGCTTGATCCATATTTTGGAAATCTATTTTTTATATTTACTTTTGTTTCGCTTATAATTTTTATAAACAATCATTAATACTATTAAAATTGCATATTTGGCGTCATTCTAACCCTAGAGTTCACGTTTTCCTTGAGGTATGAAATAAAATATTAATTTGCGAACTTATGCTGATCTCCAAACTATGCCTGATTTTTGGGCATTTTTTTGTTTTCTTCATTATATCCTTTGCGTTGTATTTATATATGGCAATCATTATACGGCTTTTATTCTTTCTGTTAATATTAGCATTATATTTACATCAGTTTTTAATTGGTTTATGTTGATCTCTCAGAGTTCTTTACTAAATGCAATTATTTTTCTATTTTGATTTTTACGCCTATTGAGCATCTTCTTTTAAATGTTAATAAGTACTTGTAGCGGATTGCTACGCTAGTAAGTCCAGACCGTCTCAGAAATCTATATGGCAGATTCTCCAACATCTTTTATAGCCCAGCTATAAAGGAAACAGACGTGTAGCACGGGGCGCCCAGCTATAAAGGAAACAGACGTGTAGCACGGAGTACGCAAAGGAAACAGACGTGTAGCACGGAGCACGCTAAAGGAAACAGACGTGCAGCACGGAGCACGTTTATTCAGAGGAAACAGACGTGTAGCACGGAGCACGTTTATTCAGTTCGTATATTTGTAGCGAATTTAAATTTTGGCAAAACGGTTAGTTATTAGATAAATCTAGCATAATTCGAGTGAACATTTATAGCTAAACATCTCTGAGTAGTGTTCTGTAGCAGGATTTCTATTGGTCATTGGCTGTGCTTCTCCGCAACCAATCCGTGTGCGAGGTTGCACGGCCGCACCTTAAGCCCTGTGTGCGCGCCCGTGATGAAGTGTTCCACATACTCTTCAAGTTTATTCAAGTCCCCACCTTGTTGAATTGAAGCTGAGCGTATGTTTTTCTTATTCCGATGTTTATAGGTATAAAGGTTCATTATTGGTATTAACATGATCGCTTAGAAATAACCATCATCGTTCCTTTGTTAACTTCAGTTTGTGTCAATGTTTATTCTGGGTTATAAATTTATATTTGACTATTTTAAGCTTGTTCTATCTCTATTTTAAACAGGCTTCAAGTACTAGAGGCCTCACCACCAAGATATTCTAATGGCAGCCAAGCTTCCCAAGACTTCCATCGATTCACGAGGCCGCGAAAGTCCTGACTTGATCTCTCTGAACAATGCTCTAGACGAACAAAGTACTGGAGATTTCATCAATCCTGACTACGAGTTTGACCAATTTGAAACAGAACTTGCTGCCGTAAATGGTTAGCGTTTAATTATGGTCTCCAGTAGGAATTTGCTCGTTTAATTAAAGATATAAATTATTAACTTTGAAATAGTACGCAAAAATTTAATTCCAGTATGCAAAATTAAATCGAATTACTTATAGAACTTAGGAACAGTATAATTTATCGATCAGAAGATAAGTTAGATTACCAATGAAACACTGGTTCTTAACCGTGTGCATGGATGACCACATTACTGCTAAGTATCGATAATAATGGTGCCATCAGTGTACCTCGCTTTCTCACTACCAATGAATTACTTCTCAAACTTTTCTTAATTATTCTTCCAGTGACTAAGTACTAATTAATAATAATTAATGTGAAATTTTGTTTCAGATTTCTCTCCAAGTAAAGGTATGATCTGGAAAGCGCATTAATTTTCATTTTTTTTTAATTAACCGTGAATCTCCTGTTGCAGTGCCATCATCGCCATCCCTTATTCCCTTTAGCCTTTTTAATGCTCTCAGAGTTTGCAAATAAAAAACTTTTCAACTCCCTTTTCATTAGGATCCAGTGCGTGGAGGTTTCAATAGGTGATTCGTGTATGCAGGCCTTTTGTATCTTAGTTTTATGGCTATTTAATCAACTTTGGGGATTTAATTTCACTGCAAGTTACACTGACCTTCTACTTTAGGGTGTGTCGTCTCAGTCCTGTGTAAATGTGTCAGCCTCAATTTGTTTCGGATGACTGCTTTTTACTCAGTTTCAAATCCTCTTCTCCTTCATAGTGAGATATTTTGACTTATCGACAGACTAAACTATTTTGAATCACGAACAAGTGTGGGAGCCTTGAACGGCTTCAACTCCAATTCACTGTTTTGGACGATGGGGGTTCTTTGATAGATCTTGCTTTTCTCATATTGCCATTTACTATCTCACTTTGGGATACAAAAGGCCTTTGTTCTTAAAAGACTTCGAATATTGATAGCCCCCACTCCCCAATTTTATGTCTGCTTTTCCCTCAGTCGCCTGCATTTTTGCTTTCCCGCCTTAAAAACATGTTGGCGGTTGTTCTGATCTTTCGCAAGACTATGCCGCCAGTGTGTATTTAGTGGGTTCCACTTTGTACGTATTTGAAATCATGTTGTTGTCTTGTGTTTTTTTTTTGAAATAGTGCCTCCCAGCTAATTGGCATTCATTATCAAATTTATTTTCTCTCAACTTTTTTTTAATTGGTGTCGTGTCATCAGCCTTCGCCATGCGACAATGGACCTACTTGAAAATCAGTACCTTTCTCTTTTTGGTTTGTTCCATAATAATAATAATGATGATGATGACAATTAATGCCACTTTATCTGCAAACTCATTGTAGGTCTTATTATTCGGACTAACTTTGGGCAAGCTTTGTCGTTTTCTTTTTTTGGAGAGAGCGTAGGTGAATTGAATCACCTCTTCCGTCATCAAAATTGATCTCCCAGATAAGGAAAAATTAGGCATCCGCTTACATTTGTCATTTCATTTTTTTGACTTTGATATCTTCAACTGATTGCATCAAAGTTCTGCCTTACTTATTGGCTAGTTTATCGTTCGTTTCGATACTTAGTAACGCAAATGAACTTCTCTTTTAAAACAAGGCGAAGCATCTTTAACTTTAGCCGCCTTACGGAGTTTTCCAAGGCACTCGACAGATCTAATTTTTCACATCTCTCATAGTTCTGTGAAAACGGCTCTGTGTTTTTGGAGCCGATACTTCTGTTGGTGCAAAATGAGTCATTTTTTTTCTTTTTAAATGATACTTGCTTCCAATATAGTCACACACACACACACACACGCTACTGTTGTGCAAATAATCTTTTCATCTGTGTATTTGTAATCTCCAAGATGTTGATCAGAACTTATACTTTAATTCCCTATTTATTAACACTATTTTTGCACATTTATCTCATTTTATCTTCTCAAAGCCTTCATTTTTTTTCTTTCAAATCCCTTTTATTCATCCAACTACGAATAGAGATCTGATGAAAAGTGTTTTGTTTGTTGGTTTGCAGAAATCTGCATTGAAATGGCTGCCGACAGCACTGTTTTCTGTCTATCAGCAAATACAATTTTTTTCAGTCACACCCATAGTAACAGCTCTAGCCTTCTTCTCTGTGAATATTGATTAGTTGGGATCCGTAACCACCACCCCCCTCCCCCCTTTCCCCCTCCCTCCCCCCCCCCTCCCAACGCAGAGCAGTATGATAGTGCATGTGAACAGGTAGGTATTATGTCCCCTTAATTAATGAATGAATTGGGTGTTTCCCTGTGTTGCTATGACTATACCTCTGGCTTCTTTTTCCTAATTCTGCTGATTCCAAAATATTCTAACAAAATAAAAAAATTCTTTTTTTCCGACTATGGCCATATGATTCGAATCCAATTTCACGCTCAAAAACCAAGAATTATTGTAATTTCAAATTTTTATGGAACTTGTTTAATTGAAAATTCTGTTTTCAATAAAAAAACAGCCAACTTTGCTTCAATACCAAGTTCAACGGGTTTCCTGCCCCCCCCCCCATCATTTATCGCGGTTTTCCCGCATGAAACCATTAAATGTTTTCCTCATAAGCTTGTTTCCCGGATGGGTTTGAACTCGTTCTGATATCCGTCTAGGAATGAGAATCATATTGTGGTTGTTGATTCACTTTTGACTAGTTTTAATCACTGGTTCACGTAGAAGGTCCGCCGAAACCCGTGTTCCTGTCTTTGCAAATGCGTCAGTTAATCGCAATAGTTATCGATTATTACTAATTTGTGTATGGATTGGATTCGATCTAACTCTCTGCATGCGCTTTTTTGAATCTAATTTGATTTATAGTCATTGTAAAATATTGCTTTAAATGAAGCATTTTAAATGTAAACTGTACGACATCTAGAATTTTTCTCTTTTGATCATCAGATTGCGAAAAATTCATAACTTTCGCCTTTACCGGTTTAAATTTCGAAATATGTTTCCTAGAATGCTGGTACTTCAATGATTTGAAGCTGAAATTTTGTCCAAAGTCATTTATTGATATCTTCCAAGGGCCGTGTTTGTTGTTCTTTCGAATTAAAATACATGTGCAAATTTTTTGTGTGCACGTGTGAAAATTAACCTTGCTCTAGATCGGTGTACCCGTTAACATTGCAGCTCATTTGGATTCTCATATCTTTATATGGCATAAGCTACTTTTTCTCTTTTAAGTAGTAAATGAAAATGAAGACGGCGATTCACTGGCCTTAATATCTCCTAAAGAATTCGCGGATGAGGATTATGAAGCAGAATTAGGAACGGCGGCGCAGGTTAGTTTAAATTGCATTCGTTAAATTTCTTTTCTTTTGGAATTGCCTGATTGTCCGCTGTTTTCTTTTCAAGACGATCGATAAAATTTTTATTGATTTTAAGCGAAAAATAAGGGTCGTTTCAACCATGCAAATTAGTATAAGACTCTAGATTAAGTGAAGGGATGGGGTAGAAGGAAGTAGATAGATTAGGAAAAAATATACTTTGAGATTGTTTTGTGATGTGTTAAGCTTTATCACAGGTAGAGTCTTGGAATATAATTTGCTCGTGGGTTTAACCCAACACACACGCACACACACACGCTTGCAACCCAGAGGAAATCGTGCCATGCCATTGTTTTAGTGCACGCATAAATTTACTCGACATGGATCAAGTCGGAATATTCGAGGCGAGTGTTTTTTATCATCCCATCCTTTTAATAACATTTAACGCTCACGTTTGTCACCGAGTTTGTTAGTTTTTTTAACTAATCCGTCCTTTCAACTATTTTCTTTCTTTAAACTCCATGAGATGCATCTCAATATCTTTGAAAGGAATCGTTTTTCAATACACACACACACACACACACACACTATTGTAGGACTTAACTTCTGCCAATCCTGTTGGGCACAAACCTTAGGCAACACTTGAAGCGAAGTTTTCCTGAAATAAGAATTTCAGGCTACGTCGTTGTCTTTAGGTCTTCAGGCCTCACGATAAAGTCTGTGATGTTAAGTTTTCGTTGAACTGTTTTCTGGGGACCTCCGTATCAATTTATGCAAGTCCTTCTTAAATCATCCTTCACCAACTTTTCACTCAAATAAATTGGCCTTTAGGATCTATAATGTGACTATAGCTTTGAATATTCTTTAAAATGTAAATTCCTGAAGATTCTTGCATTTTTGTTGTTCCCTCTTTTTGTGAACTTGATGTTTTCCAAGCTCATCATGAATTAGTTCATATATTTAGCAATTATTCAACTCGTTTCTCAGTAAATTGTGCTTCTAAAATTGAGATATTTCACAATTGTGATTCATATGCAGACTTAGGATTCACAATTCTTTATCTCTTTTCAACATTTTTTTTGTGTTGGGTTTTGTTCAAACGGCATATTAGTCTGCTCTATCTAAAAATTAGATTAATTCACTAACTGAAATCTTACGACACCATGACCGAAAATTTGTGTTTTGTCTTGTAAGAGATTTTTGCTCTATGGAACCGTGCTTTTTATTACAAAAACCCGTTCTTAATGTGTGTGTATGTGTTTTCTAGAATAAATGTCTACTTTTCATTTGGAAGCAGTTTTGATAGATGATTTTCTTTTTTAAAATTTTCCATATTTATTTTCGATGTAGGAGCTGACTGTTCAAGAAGCACTAGACGTTGAATACCAGGACATTGCGAGAATGGGTGTCATTCAAGTTGCTGGTGATGATCGATTAGGGCGAAAAGTTGTTGTCTTCTCCTCTTGTCGTCTCCCTGATTATGATAAGGTGGACTATCAGAGACTTTATGAGTAAGTTTCCAAAGTTCTAGTGCTTCACTACTTGTCAAGCCTGCATGCATATTTATGCCAAATATTCTTAGCTTAAAACAACTCCTTTTAATGCTAAATGCTACCTACAGTATTTCATCTTTACTTAGTTATCTAATTAGCGACTTAATTATTCTCCTGCAAGGTCATTCATTATTATCAATTTTATATTGTTTATTAAATCATTTGAGTGGGTTTTACTTTAATTCTGTTAATCCTAAAACTAGTTCAATATATGGTTCACTGAAGAGGCGTTGCTTAGACTTGTACAGGTTTTGAACTCAAGCTTTTATTTAAGTCTTTTGACCTTTAGATTTATATTTAGTTTTTAGATCCACATGTTCACGCTTTAAGTCTATTATTTCTTTCTATTATTTCAGTTATCGTTGCTGTTAATTTGTTTCCTCTCGCATAAATTTCGTTATCTATTTTGGTTAATAACTTTCAATTTACATTTATTGAATTTCTCATTGCATTCAATTAGCTTATTACGTGACACCGCTGTGAACTAAATTCAATTGTAAGTTGCTATTGTCTATTTGCATTATAAGAGCTCGTCTTAGAAGCTTCACCAAAATAGCGATAAGGTAACAGTGAATCAGATTATGAAATGCAGTTTGCGTTGATCTATGCAACTTTGACCTTCAAAATTAAGTAATTTTACAAACGCGATCTGTGTTAAGGTACTCAGAATGTGCGTCACCCAAACATGTGACTCAAGTTTCATATTCTTGCATATGCTTGTTTATCTGTGTGTGTGTGGGGGGGGGGATGTTGGCTTTAAAGTTAAACCTTGTTACGAATCGTAAAAATCAATGGTTCATTATAAATTGATAATCATAAGGATGATCCATCGGTCTCGTAAATAGCACTTAGCATAGCAATTGCCGCTCTGGGGTTTCCTGCACTCAATGAAGGCGTCGTATGCAACTACTTTTCGCTGTATGAAAAGTCTTCAAGGTTACGCTAAACTTTCAGCCTAATCTTTTCTTCCATCTTTTAAGGCCCGAAATGTTTTTTTTTAAAAATGCCCCCAACCGCACTCACGCGTGTCTCACAGCAGACTGATGCCGCCGACGTGATGAGATTTCGTGGTATCAGGCGAAGGGCATAGAAACTCAATGAACATGTTTCAAAAAGGCAATAGGGCCTTCTGTTACGTGTCTAGTGGCAATGGAGCTTATTTTGAAAGGGGATCATACGATCCTAAGGGTGTTAGTGGGTTAGGGCATCTTCGCCATATTTATGCCTGAAACTTCGCTAAAACTGATAGCATTACAATTTTGGGGATTTTTGCGTAAGGAGAAATCGATAATATATAAGATGATTAATCATACGGGTGGATTTTTTCCGTAAATGCGTGTACGTACAACCGCGCTCTTAGTTTCGCACTAATTATCTTAAAAAGGCTGCACAGTCAAGGTTGTTGTTATCATTGGAGTCATTGAATTAGTGATATTAATGAATTTTAGCATTCTAAGTGTTGAGATGCGTTCTTGACAGATTTTCATTGAGTAGACGTAGGTGGTGGTGATAAACCTATCTCCGATAATGCCCCTCATCTTTGTAAAGTTGCCTGAATTTAGATATTTCCATTACGCACGCATATATTCTTTCTTAATTGCAATTATTATTATTATATCAAATGATAGGCATTTTAATGGTTATCATTAGCCCTTTAGTTGACTTCAGGCTTCACAGATGGAAGGAACATCAAATCGAAAAAAGTCGAGAGGGGGGGGGGAAGAAGAGTGTTTTAAAGATGTAAAAGAGACAGACAAAAAGGTAGATGAAAGGTGAGGTGAGTACTGTGAAAGTGGCAGAATATGACATACAGTGGGGTGATGATAGTTTGAAGTGAGAAGTCAACTGCCGGTTAATAGACCTTTTTGCCGTATGAGTCTGTCGCACACCCCCTTAATTGCAATTATCGTGTTGGGGATAGCAAGTT